CTTATATGAACTTTATGAGCTGCTGACAGGGCCAAAGCTTGTAACTTCTCCTGGAGCTGATGCCGATGAAGCACCGTATCAACACAAACCTTGGGTAGAGGCGGAAGCACATGTGTCTGGTTTGGAGATAGCCTCGTGGAAGGGGCGTACATCAAGACGGCAAACCCAACTTGGCATGCGCAAGAGTGTTACTGGTGTCACTCCGCGCAAATCACAGCGCAGCACCGTCATCACCCCAGAGCGCCGGCACATGGCGTGCTTGCGCTGAGCAGGATGGTATGTATTGGCAGACCAAAGTCCAGGCCTTGGAAAAGCTGGGCCGACTACATCGCAGAGTTTTGCCAGGTCTGGCCTTCAGTGAGAAGACAATTGTGGCTTTTGGGGCGCCCACCGGGCGGCGTGGGGGAACCAGGATGGCTGGTTGGCTCCGCTGGTGGTGCTTAGTACTACCTCCGGTACTGCCGCTTACTTTTGTTTTTGACCCTGAGTAGTACGTCCCTTTTGCTTCCGAAACTGCCACCTGTCTGTGTCGTCTGCCAGATGGTTCAAAATTCAACTGCGAACCGTGAGTGCGGCGCCGAGGATGTGGCATGTCTTAGCATCGGCTCGGTTTTGGTGAGGATGAATGGTATCATGAACGCAATTGACGCCAAGAATTGCGACATCTCGGAAGGCGGCGTTGGCGCTTGGTAGGATGCTTGTTGTACCCACCTCTTCCTATTTCAGCCGCACTTGAACTACCAGTAGGCAGCTAGCGAGCCTTTTTCCGCGGGGTGAAGATATGGAGAAGAATACCGGGGACTTGGTAACTCTTCTATTAGTAAGGCTGGCAGATGACTTAGCTCTTCACTGTAAGCTTAGTTATGGTCTGCGAAAGTCAGACACCATTGCCCCTGATTCAACTACTTCATGCTTCAAGGACAGATGCTCGGTGCTATAGAACATACCTCAAGACAAAAACTCTCGCATCCATGAAAAGGAGAAAGATTTGTGTGCTGCACTGCCACAGCACACCCTCAGAAACAGTGCCACATGACAATTCTTTTCGTCTTCGATCAGCTATGGGTAGACTCGTCCATGGAAAAGTGGCTGATCATCTGGGATACTACCAATGGACAAGAGGTTTGGTGGACCTGACCACGTGTGATTCATGCCAGTCGCTGTTTGTTCATTGATTCGCATTCGTTCTCGCCCCATCACGTTTTTTGCGCCATTATTTCGCATTTCCTTTCGATCTTTAAGGACAGGAGTTTTTTTTTTCAGCCGAAGCATGTTCGTGAATATCAGTGGTCAGTCTGGCATTACTTCGGCGACTGACCATATCCAGGTCCATCGTCTCTATCGTAAGCACACCCCAACATCAATTCTAGATGCGCTATAGAGTAGTCGCCTGACGTGGTCCTGAATGGCCACGTTTGTAGCCCGACAATATGGTAGGCCTGCAGGCACGGGAGCAGGGAACTTACTCCAAGCTCATCCCTGGTATCGCCAACACTGTGAGCCCGACGACCCGACGCGAGCCTAAATCGGTAGCCAGTAAACGCTCATATCTTGTGTCATGAAGTAACGCCACCGGTATTCTTATGTTTGTAAAGGGCCGGTGGTGTCTAGAATATCGGTATATGACTGTCATCCCTAGACGATCACTGGCCCCGCCCATCACTCTGGCTACAGATCTTCGCGTATATTATGATATATTTGTCACATGGGAGAAGTTGTCGCGTGACAGCATGATGTTTTGGGAAAAGATGTTCGTGGAATAGGCTGATAATGGATGTCGTTGTAGATTCATGAGTCTAGAAGGAGGCGTCTTCATTTCGGCTGCATGTTTGCCGTCTTTACAAGATATCAGGGGTAGCGAAAGACCCCGTATCTGCGAGCGATGTGCTTTCTGGAAGACATCTTCTCGCCTGGCCAGTATTCATAATCACCGACACGCTCTATCTCATGAGCAGCAATGCAGTAACGCTTGTTGGGGACTGTTGATGCGAACAGACAAGACATGTCTATGATACAGAAGTCGTCTCACGGTTTCCTCTACCCTATTTTCCATCTTCTTGGAGTTCAAACTCTTTCTTCTTGGCGATGCGAGTAACCTCTGTGCTAGATAAAAGAAGTCTTTTGCTTAGGCAATGGGGTTCAACAAAGACCAAGACCAACTTTTCCAAATCAGATGGTACTGAGACTACCAAGTGCACCAACACAGCAACCTGTGGGAGTTCTTTTGTCACCAGCACTTGCTCAGAGGCAGCTTTTACACTCAATTGATTACATGCAGACACTGAGTTACAATTTTGGCCAATGACGATAGGAGTGTTGGCGTCACTGCTATGCTGAGCGGCGGCCTCACGTCAAAATACGGTACTAACCTCGAGTTTCTTGGAGAATTATCGACGTAAGAGTCATAATGTCTTATCATATCTTGATAACTTGGTGGATTATAATTAGGAAGTAGATTCGCAACTAGCCAAATCTGCTAAAGATCAAGATGAATTTCAGATTTATACTTGTTGGAGCTGAACAAACTTCGAACAAATGGAATCTTATTGAGATGATGGACCGATCAATCTGCTAATCAAGATCAGCAGAACAGTCAGACTATATACTTCTTAACCTAGACTAATCTAGTCTAGTACTTAAGTCCTTCAGCTATCCGGTCCATCACTCACTTTATCTAATCAGATAAGATTAACTTGATCCTGATCAGATGGTTCAAAAGATCGAGTGAATCACGTGACAAGATCACGTGATCCCGGCCATCTTGACCAGTGATACTACGACAATACTTTAATGTGAGTATCCACAGATCCATTTCTCACGACATGTTGGATTCTATTCCCGAATAACCAGATGGGTTATTTCCAAAAAACGGAATTCCAGAAAAGGAGATGCATGGAACGATTGTGGGGGAAAACGGCCCCTAATAAAAACAACCAAGGTAATTTTTGGATTAGATCACCATTTTGTATAAGGCAGAAGTATTTCAGAGATATATAAGATAACTTTTAGGCTAAGCTTATCTCAACTAGCTCAGAGTTACACGGGGTTGGGTGCTGATACTTCTCTAGGCTCGATCCGGGTTAGGGCGAGTGAGATGG